TTGTCAAAAAAAATCATATGACGTCACTTATTTACGTGATCGTGCCACGTTAAATGATTTTAAATATCTTGGCAATAAGACTAGCCAATAGTTAATAGAACACACACGAGCCTTCGCCCCCCCCTTTTTTTCCCCGGGGGGGATTTTTTTGGGATTTTTTTTTTTTTTTTTTTTTTTTTTTTTTAAATTTTAAATAAAAACCCCCCCCCCCCCCCCAAAATTTTTTTTTTTTTTTTTTTTTTTTAAAAAAAATTTTTGATTTAAAAAAATTACGTCTCGGGCAGGACTTGAACCGGCATTCACAGCGACCGCGGTGTTGCGCTAACCACGTGCTGCGCGTGTCGTACTTTATTATTAAGCAATAACATCTGAAAAATTATAAAGTTTTCAAGCCTCTATATTGTTACAATAAAACTTTCGACGATGCAGCAAAACCTACATTGTTTCAAGTTGGGCCGAAACTATTGTTAATAATCTTTTAAATCCCAGTGTGGGTATCCTTTCGTATAGAACCGTTTTTAATTTTAAACCCACTACTCTGTCCTATTTGAATCTTGGTACTATATCTTTCCATTTTGTGTATCCAAAGCCAAAATAGATCGATAGCGCATCTTATGTAGTAGGGATAGAGCTGCTTTAAATACTGTCTATAGTTTACGCGAGTAGTACACATTTAAATAAAACACTTTAACGGTTTAAAACGCGAAATATTAGTTTAACTTTATTTGAAAATGATTTTTTTACTTAGGCCCGACGTTTCGGATGCTTTGTCTTTCCATGACCACGGCTGCTGCAAAGCATCATAAACATCGGGCCGAAGTTATAAATCATTTTCAAATAAGTTTAACTAATATATCGCGTTTTCAACCGTTAAAGTGGTTTTTTTTAAGAGCTGGGGTGTTTCACCTCCCATCATGTGAACTACATGCTTTGTCGTCCTCTTTGATTGAAACAAACGCCTAAAGTTTGGTCATTTTATTGGACGTACAGACAAGCGATGAATATTATCTCATTATAGTATGGATTATTTGCTCAAGTGTGCGTGACTGTACATCAAATGACGGTAACGTGGCAGGTCATGTCGCCCACGACTGTATTTCGTGAATGGGCTAATTTATAATGAGACTATTGCGTTCTTACTGTGGTTATTGAAAACAGTATCGCTTGAATGCTAAGCTAAGCTAAAAGAATGATTTCTATTTTAGCGCAAATTTTGATATCGGTTTTGTTTTTGTATATTATTATTTTGTTTACATGCAAAAAAAAAATGCAAATTCCATAGCCTGTCGCTTGCTCGCGTATAAAACCATAAAACAATTAAACGGCTTAAAACGCTAAATATAGCCACGGTCCATGGCCGCGGTTGCTGCGAAGCATCCGAAACGTTGGCCGTAATAAATTGTAAATAAGTCGCGTTTTAAACCGTTAAAAGTTTTATTCCTTTTATGATATTTAATAGGTTGGTAAATAAAATTAATAATTAATTTTCATAGATTAGATTTTCATGTTCAAATTCAGTCATATAGACTTTTCGTTGAGTTCATTGCATAAGCTTACGAAATGATGAAAATGGTATTCTCTAGTAGAACATACATGCAAAAGATAATCCATTGTTAGTCATAAATAAATTTATGATGTACCTACATCACGGTTCGTTAAATACTAAAATCTGGATAAATGACTGCATATACAAATTGAGCAAAAGTGGTGGTGGGAGGGGTAAAGAATATCGTTGAAACTACCCACGAAAATATATTTAGTTTTTAATACCAATAATGACAATATATGTTAGATAACTTATTTACAACTAATTTTAACTACGGCCCGACGTTTCAGATGCTTTGTAGCAGCCGTGGCCCAAGGGGACTGAAGATGCAGAATATACAATTTTAAACTAATATCTTCTACGCTAGCGCCATCTATTTCGACGTAGGCAATATTTAGCGGAACTGGCTGAGCCCTTGCAGGACTGAGTAAATTGAATAATATATTTCAAGTTTAAAACCGTTAAAAGTGTTTTATAAAAATGTGTACTACTCGCGTTAAGTATAGACCGTAAAAGATATTTGAATATTTTTTGTTTTAATGCATTTTAAATTGTTTTTTGCAAACCCTAACTCTGCTGTCAATCATAGAAGCCGTGTTGATTGTTTATTTTTATGATTGATTAGTGCTTAAGCTGGTGAAGGCTAAAATATGGCTTAGAGCATTAATTGTAACATCTCATCAAATCTACTTTGTTGCAACTGTACTAAATAATACTATTTATTTTAATAATAAGGAAGATTTAGATGCTCTGTAAGACCGGTAAGGTACTGACACTCAGAACTTTACTATTTTTTGTTTTTTAACAACTAATTATTTAAATGTCGACCTATTTTGGCTTTGGACTTTTGGAAAAAGTGCAGAAGAACATTAAAGGCAAATAAAATCGACGAAAATGTCAATAAAAGGCACAGAAATGTGTCCGGGCTTTATATTACCAAGTTTTGAGTTGTTGATATTTAAATAAAACACTTAAAACTGTTTAAGCCGCGATAAATATTATATTAATTATTTTTTACAACGACCTGACGCTTTTTCACTGCTGCAAAGGGTGTCGTGATTTGATTCCCTAGCTCAATGATCGAGCGCATTGCGTTAAGCACGTGAAGTCCTGGCTTCGATTCCTGGAAAACTAATAAATAACTAACTTCTGTGAAGTGTTTAAATAAAACACTTTAACGGTTTAAAACGCGATATATTAGTGAAACTTATATAAAAATGATTTTTAACTTCGGCCCGACGTTTCGGATGCTTTGCAGCAGCCATGGTCACGGGGAGACAAGACGTCGGGCCGAAGTTAAAAATCACTTTTAAATAAGTTTAACTAATATATCGCGTTTTAAACCGTTGAAGTGTTTTATTTAAATGTGTACTACTCGCGTAAACTATAGACAGTATTTTCTGTGAAGTGATCAACTACGTGCTTGGAATTTGGTTAATAAAAAGGACACAGATATATGTTCGAGTTTCAGTTATATAGTGTTTAAAGGATTGTTTTATTAAAAGATTAAAAAGTAGTTTTAATACATAACAAATGAAGTGCATAATACCCTTTTACGGATGCAGTGATAAGATGTAAAAAAAAAATGCAAACCGTGGTATGTGTCAATGCGGAAATAACACTGGTTTTAAAACCTCTCAGCGTACGAGAATGGACACAAGCTTACGATAATTGATATTATTATAAATATTTTTAGCGTAGGAGATGAACGTCATGATTAAATTGTCCCCGACTGGGGTAAAGAGCGGTCACATTTCTGTGTCTGTTTTACGTTTTTGATAACACATTTATTTATAGCGTTTTATGAATAACCACCATTGAATGCAAAAACTGCATGTATTAATCGGTTCAATTCGACGAAAACGTGAAGGACATGGTAGCTTTGTTAATTGGAGGAACAATACAGATGCCGGTTCAAGGCCTGCTCGTGTCGGTTTTTTTTACCTAAAACTGATTTGTCATATAACGCCACGTGAAATATAAAATTTAACAAATATCTGGTCTAAAATGAAACCAATATTGCATAAACTTCATTTTTTTAAAGGTTTCATTTAGCTCGACCCTTACGGAATTTATTTATTTGGGTCAAAAATTAGTAGAAATTCAAGCACCTTCCCGTTGTCAAAATGATCTGAAATTTGGTACACACATTTAATTCAGATGACAATACAATATAATGAAAACCAAACCATTATAAATCCAAGATGGCCGCCGTAACAAAATGGCGGATTACGTATTTTTCCTTAACCCCCTCAAGATGGGTATCAAATGAAAGGGCTACACTAGTAAAACACGATGATCATGTCAAATTCTAGTTTATGATAAGATGCATGACAGACAAGCATGGTTCACTTGGCAAGCTTAACATGATACGCTGTTGGCCTATTTTCATTATTGTATATTGTACAGACCTTACTTTATTTCCATATAAACCTTAATGGCTACCTTTACCACGCATTGCGTGTACAATACCTTTATTGTTGTTCGATGATCATAACAATAAATAGTGATGGGCAATGCAATCTCTACAAGGTGAACTCATCATTAAAACACGTTCAGAATAGTTATTATCTAGGACTCATATAAATAAAACAGTTTAACGGTTTAAAACGCAATAGATATTAATTAAACTTATTTGAAAATTATTTTGACAACGGCTCGACCTTTCGGGTACTTTAGCCTTTAAAATGTTTTATTTAAATTATCGCGATGTTAGTTGACTCTCCCAAAACAGCTGTATCGAATTTAATGAAATTCTCTATGCATTTGAAGATCTCATAATATAATTTAAACGAATAGTTTTGTTTTCTTTTTAATACAGTTGTTTACATTTACATAAATGGTAAAAGCTGTCAGTGTCTGTTAGCTATAATAACAATATATAATATTATAGTAGATTTATATAAACTTCTAGCTGTATCAGCTACTTCGTCCGTGAAGAATGGACCCACGACGTCGGTCGCGTTCCGTCGTTCTAGCTTAACCAACACAAAAATAATTCTTCAATTCGAACCAGTAGTGTTAGAGACCCCCCCCCCCCCGTCACCACGGCTGCTGCAAACCATCCGAAACGTCGGGCCGAAGTTAAAAATCATTTCCAAATAAGTTTAACTAATATATCGCGTTTTAAACCGTTAGAGTGTTTTATTTAAATGTGTACTACTCGCGTAAACTATAGACAGTATTTAAAATCGGAAACATTTTATTTTCACGTGCTATTGCATATCATTTTAATTAAATACAACTTACAATTCCTATCCTTCCACAACCTCTGTTTTTATTGCAATTTCATATAAGAATTTAATGTATATTAATTTAAAATTATATGTGCCAGAAACTACTGATCTTCATGGGAAGAAGAAGAAAAACTCAAATATTATATTAAGCAATAATTTATTTATTCAAAACGTATTTCGCAATACCAAAAATATCTAAGGCTTTATGAAAATCTTTATCAATAATGATATCCAGTTGAATCGTATGTGGGCGGTTTCCTATTAACATCAAATTGTTCGCGTTGATTCTCTTGTCTTATAGCCTGTGTGTTGAAATTTGGCTTTGGTACCGCATTGACCTGCATTTGATTTTTCTGGAAACTCTTACAGCATGGGCTTCCAATGATGGTGGAACCAAGAGGCCTTGAGCTGGGGTTTGATTGTAATCCTATACTTGCATCAGGTATAGGCGACTCAAAGCTTTGCTCCTGAATTGCAACTGGTTCTCTGGTATTTTGGGTTTGAGACCCTTGATTTACACTAATTACCGTTTGTGGTCTTAATTGGCCGTTTGGTGTTTCAATTTTCTGTTCGTTATTATTTTCAGATTCAGGTAGAGATCCAGCGGGCTTATTATATTCGTAGATTTCCGCTTTTGGTCTGTTGAAAGTAGTTTGTTCCTGAGGTTTCAAAGTGGGAAATGACTGAGTAGACGCAAATGCGTTCGCGAATGATCCGGGCTGTTGACTTGTTTGAGTATATGGGTTAAATGTTTGAAGTGACGGTAAGTTATTTTGTTGGTTGGTAGGCTTTGTCGTTAGACTGGAAGCTAAAGATGTTGGCGCTTGAGTAATTCCATTGTTTTGCAACTGATTTGCTGACTGTATAGACGTAGAAGCTAGAGGTAGTGAAGGTGTATTAAATCTATTTACAACCAAAGACTGACTCTGATCAACATTTGGTCGCTGAGCACTATTTGTATTGAAAGGAGACTGTGGAAACTGTTGTCTGAAGGGCTTTGATGGTTTATCATAGAAATAAGAATTATCAGGACCTTGGGGCTGGCTGTAAACATTTTGGGTTATTTGACTAAAGGAAGGCGTAGTTGGCTGCTGAAGTGAAGAGCCTTGTGTGCCTGAAGGACCCGCTTCGCTAAAACGTGATGCTACTGGGTTTGGGAAAAAACTGGGATTAGTAGGTCTTGTTTGGGTACTTTGCAAAATAGAAGAGGGCTGCTGGTATGTAATACCTGGAGAGCTATTTTTATTTTGATTTGGGGAAAAAATGTTATTTTGAGGTTGACCCTCAGCATTGTTGTTACCTAAGGAAGTTGTTGGCTGTTGTACATTCAAATTTGGGACAGAAGTTGGTTTATTATATTCATAGATTTCACTTTCCTTGATTTGCTGCTTCTTTTCTGATTCTATAGGTTCGTTAAATTGATTTTGTTCACCAAAGACATTTGCAATCAGTTGTGTAATGGTTTGGGACTGATTCATTTCAGATCCTTGCAAAGGCCTTTCATTATTAACAGAATTAATAGTTGATGATGTCTGTGGTAACGTAGGTTTATTGTATTGGTAGACCTCACCATTTGTGTTACCTTGTAGGGGCTGATTTACAGCAAATTGTTGAATACTATCTTCTGGTTTTTTATTGAAATCTTGAGAAGAAATTCCTGTTTGTTGAGACGTCGCTGGCTTGTTATATTCGTAGATCTCGCCTCCGTTATTGCCTGTGGATATTTGTTGGTGTTTATTGGCTTCCGGTTTATTTTGTTCAAGTGGCTTAAAGGATCCAAATGACGGTTGTTTATTACCATTTTGAGGTTCTTGTTTAATTGTTGCTGGCTTGTTGTATTGGTAAACCTGACCGTCGTAAGTTGTTGGTTGATTTGTCGAAGTAATCTGATTATTTATGTTTGATGTAACCTTATCTAAAGGTGGGAATGACACAAACGGCGTAGTAAGGTCCCTAGATGGCTGGTTAGTTGGCACTATTGTTTGTTGAATTTCAAATCTATTAGATACATTTGGCTGTTTTACAAAATTTCCAGTAGTTTGCGAAAAGGTTTGGCTTGGTACTGGAGGAAAATAACTACTGAAATTGTTTTGCGAATTTGTTTTACCGTCGCCGCCTTGTGGGTTGGGGTCCATTCGACTGTCAGAAGAAACTTGGCCTGTGCTAGTTGCTTCATATGAAGAAGGCCTCGAAGAGAGAGAGTCAGGTCTATCTATATTTTGTAGGTTTTGTTGAAAAAGTGGTACTCCGGATTCATGAGTTATGCTAGGTACACTGGTCGTCGTTGGTACGATGGGGTTCTGATTTAAACCTTGCTGACTAAACGGTTGATAATTCGGGGGCAAGTATTCCTTGCCTTTTGCTCTGGTTTTGAGCTTTGTCCAAATCTATCGCTTGTGGGTGAGTTAGAACTACTGGGATGAGCTATAAAACCTTGGTTAGATGCCTCATTCGGTTGATTGCCAGAAAACCCAGCAGCAGCATCTGGTGTTTGAATGTTGAATTGCGACGGTTGATCTTTAAAATTACCAACAAAGCCTGACTGGTCGTTAGCGTTTGGACTCAAAGCTTGATTCTGATTAAAGGAGCCACTTGATTGAGCATCAAATTCAGGTCGATTCGCGAATGTATTTGATTGTCTGTCATTATATTTGTCATTATCGCCGTTGTCTGAATAATCGCCCTCGCTATTGTATTTCTTCGCGTCATACGAGCCTGTAAATAGAAAATGAAAGTTGGTCGATCATTCAACGCCTCTGACTACTATTTGTCAGCAACGATACATCAAAGCGCACAATAGTATTAGACTAATCGGTCTTGTCGCATATTCTTGTGAATCTACTGTATCTATTGCACGGTCTATTATACAGACAAACTGTATTTAAGATAAAATAGCTTTATTTCGAAACGTTAGAAGCCTCAAGAGGTATTAAATACTGTCTGTAGTTTACGCGAGTAGTACACATTTGAATGAAACACTTTAACAGTTGCAAACTCGATATATATTAGTTTATACTAACTTTAACTAATATATATACGCATTTTAAACCGTTAAAGTGTTTAATTTAAAATACCTGTGCTATTTCATAGGGTTTATAAAGCATTTGACATAGTCGTCACCGATTCCGTAGAAATATATTGTGTATATACGTATTGTCTGGCATAGAGTTAGGTAGGAGAAATCCTAGGTTCGAATCCCGGGAAATCAATTATTGTTTCGGTCGCGCAAGGCAAATAATCTATTCGACTTGCAGATACGGGTGTGTATTCGCCTTATGCTCCACAGGCGGAAGCGAGATGGCAGAATTAAAATATTTGCCACGCGGTGGTGGGATACTGTCTCCCCGTGACCACGGCTGCTGCAAAGCACCCGAAACGTCGAGCCAAAGGTAAAAATAATTTTCAAATAAGTTTAACTAATATATCGCGTTTTAAACCGTTAAAGTGTTTTATTTAAATGTGTACTACTCACGTGAACTATAGACAGTATAGAATTAAAATAGTACCTCATAATATTTTATCAATCTTTATGTATTTTAATTTAAATATTTCTCCAATTATTTTACGTATATGGTACGACCGTAGTTGGAAATACAGAAAGTTGTTTATATTTTAAAACATTGAAGATTTTTCAATTGAAGTATTTGTTCAATTGTTTTCGCCAATGCTGATATTATTGTCAAAATACAAGGCTGACTCAAAAAAGTAAACACCTTTCACTTATGGGTCGTACAACGTATTTATAACTGTGACAATAAATAAATAAGGAAATAACATTTAAACATATTAACTTAAAATATGAATAAAAGAATGTGGTCGCGTCGATACAAGAAAAAAAATAGTATTATTTTCGTATTTATTTTAATCATACATTTAAATAGAACACACTTATTAAAAATACTATAACTAATATATTTCGCGTTTAAAACTGTCAAAAGTGTTTTATTTAAATATATACTAGTCGCGTAGACTACCGGCAATTGTTATCATGTGTTTCTTTAACATATTTACAACAAAACGGTATTTTTTATATACTAAAATACGTAGAGGTAAAACACGTTGTTTTATTCAATTAACAAATTCAGATTGTTTAGTAACTAGCCGTGGGTTCAAATCCCTCCCATTACAAACATTTATTATTTTAAAATGTAGCAGCTAGATTGAATAATTTTGACTTGATACTAGTTTTTTAAACTAAATAAAGACATCGATGTCTTATATAAATCTATATTTCGCGTGAAAAATCTAATAACCAAATTAAATAATAACGATTAATGTTTGAGATTTTATTATCACGATTATTTATATCATAGCTTTCGATTCGGAAGTTTAAGTGGAGCCATTTATTTTAAACAATCCGATAGAATCGTTGAGCGGTCAACAACCTTGACCGTCATCAAAGAAAGCTTAAGAGCTTTAATCAGATAAAAATTAAAGAATACTTTTAATATAGTAAGTGATAGCCTTTACCGTTACTCTCCAAATCTTTTAATCGTTAGCAGTACACGTTAAAAACACTTTTAACGGTTTAAAACACGAATACGATAATGATATTACTTTTTAACTTACTGTCATTTTGGATGTTTAAAAGATGTTAAAATATTTCGCGTTTTAATCCGTCGAAAAGGTTTTATTTAAATATTATTTACGTCTATGTTAATTTAAATAGGTTTGAAATTTAAAAATAACTGCTCTTTCATTTAAATTTGAGAATTAATCAATGTAAAACTTTTAGTGTGGCATCTGATTTCAACGATAAAACCACTTTCCCATAAATTCACTTTTGAACCGATTTATTATACTTTGATTCAACTCACCATCATCAACAACGCCAGCAGCTTCGTCCTTTGCATTCTGCTCCAGAGCTTTCAGAATTTCCACTGGAATCGGTGGAGGTGTTGGTAAATGCGACCCCTTGGGCTGATATCCATCTTCATCAGCGGTGTACGTCACTGTGTAGACTAGTCCATCATCACCCGTGTAAGAATAACCCCCTTCCGCCCTTATTCCATTAACAGACACCGCTTTCTGTCCAGCTCGGATCCCATTTTCGGTTTCAAAAAGATAATTATACATGTTGGGACCGATATTGTTTTCCAGTCTTATTGTATTTGATAACCTGTCGCGATTGGCTTGTATCCTTTCAGGTCTTTGAACAAATCCATCAAAACCTGGTGGCAAAAAACTTGGAGCGCCCTGAAGATGTTTATCCCTGAAGGCAGCTTCTCCCACCCTTGAATCCGTGGATCCGTAGGTAATTCTAGGCGCTCCTAAACCAGATTGTACAATGTTTGAAGCTCTTGTGTTGAGTGCAGCATCAACCACCACACCTTGGTGTTCGTTTTCATAGCTCCCTACTGGTAGGAAGGTGGAACCTTTTGGAGTTTGAAGTATTTCTGATGTTCCCCCAGCTGTTTTTGCTGATGCTGGTGGCAGATAGCTTCGGTCGAGCTTTGCAGCACTACAGACCGCTATAACAGCGGTTATAATAATCTGGAATTTAAGAAATAGCATGTTCATAATATAATTATGGATCTTTAGACGCTATTAGCAAAAACTTTATTTAAATCTAAGTTAATCTTAAATTGTAATTTGAAATAAACAATTTAATTGTTTACTCTGCAAGTATTTTTTTTATGATAGAGAAGGATAATCAAGCATGGGGTTACTTGATGGTAAGTACCCCAGCCATAGATCATTTAAATAAAATGTGCCGTCGACCCATTTTGGCTTTGGATATTCGGTATACATAAGAAAGCTTTCGAATCCTAGAAGCACAACACTATCACACCACATTACCGCTTTCATCTCTAAAGGACTATTCCACACTGATGGGTTACCACACACTGATGCCCAGAAAACGGACTTTTGCTTTTTATATCGATACCAAACTCATCTAAAAAAACCTGCTCACAACTTTTCACCAACTTACTACCACCACGTGAACAACTTCGACGTTTATTTTCATCATCTTTAACGTGATAGACGTAAGGTTCATTTTACACTGCCGTTTGTTTTGCCAGTGTTTCCTATGCGTATAGACTTCAAGTTCAAGTGCCTACAAAAATGTGATTAACCCACGATTTTAATTGGGAATGAATCGGTTTTATAATGAAGATCTAAATGCCTTTTATGTGTGTCGTGAAATGTTACATTAATAGGACGTGATGGAGCTAAAAATTGTGTCAAGGAATGCGATAATAATGTCTTCGAGAATCTACATTAATATTATAAAGCTGGTGACTTTGTTTGAACGCGCTAATCTCAGGAACTACTGGTTCGAAATCTTTTCGAAATTTTGGGTTAGGTGGGTTTTTGGAACATTTGCCCGCGCCCAATTTTGGGGGGGTTTTCGGGGGGAATTTGGGAAAAACGGGGGATCTTTGGGGTTCCGAGAAACCAAAAACTATGTATTATATAAAAACAACGAAGAATCTTTAAAATAATAAAAAAAAATTCTCCGCGAGAGAATATGTCTATATGTTAAGATGAACAAGTAAGACCGACGGGACGCGGACGTCGCCGTAGATAACAACTATATTTTATTTCCACGCGGACGGAGTCGTGGGCACAGCCACTTTAATTAATACACAGGTAAGGAATACATAAGCTCAAATACAGAAACATACATTTTTGATGCAGTATAACAAAGTGCCTGTTTCGCCCCCCGTGGGGCATGGGGCGAATGCATTTGTCCCACACACACACGCACAAACGTGTCTGTTATACTTATCGATTGCAAAAATGTAAAAGTTGATCTAACATTTTTTCTACCTGAGCGAAAACAGTTTATTTTTAATGGAGATTCAAATACAGGACCTTTGGTGCCCAATGCTATACAATACTGAGCGGGATACCACAACATGAGATAACTTTGCATTGCATTTAGGGCGAAGGCAAAAGACTTTTACTTACAGATAACCTAGACTCAATATGAGACAACAGGCGATTGACAAAATAAAAAAAAATCCCGGATACGGTTTAAATTGACGAAGGTTTAAAATGTCGTCTCATACTATACTAGATGTGTCAGCGACTTCGTCCCCGTAGAAGTTATTTTGAGCATCAAATTTGTACTTGCAAACCTGTTCAACTCTAAAAGTTTAAGCTGTTACCCACGACTTCGCCCGCGTCCAGTCCTTCTTGAGATAATCGACATAGTCGCGGACTTTATTTAGATCATTAAAATATAAATCATTCTTCTATACATATTTTTTAGGTATTTTGAACCGTTGGCGAAGTGTACGCATCTGAAACCCACAGAGATGAAAATTTCCCCCGTCTTGTTCACATTTGCCGCTGTTTGTTCGCTTCTATTAGTCACACGTGCTATAGCCTAAAGTCTTCCTCAATAAATTCTCAAACTAACACAAAAATAATGTTTTAATGCGAACCAGTAGATCCTGAGATTCGTTTAAACAAACAAACTGTTCAGCTTCATATATTAGTATAGATGTATGGCTCTGGTCAACTCACTGACATTTTTACTTGAACTTGAACATTCATTCGGCATGTAAGGACTAATTATTTGAGATCACTTTACACAGAGATGTATAAAGGTATATTCATAGTTTAATTTAATTACATTAACTAATTACCTATAGGTATATATATCATGTTTGAATGGATTGAATTACAGGCTGTAGTTTATTGTGGTACACATGGGAAACACGATTTAACGGTTTAAAACGTGAATTTATATTAGTAAACGTAGTTTAAATTTCATTTACGGCCCGACATTTTGGCGAAAGTGTTTTATTTAAATTTGTACTACTCCCCCAGTGACCGCGACCGCGTAATATACGACACATATGACGACACGTCGGGCCGTTGTTAAAATAAGTTGCATAACTAATAAATTTCACGTTTTGAACCGTTAAAAGTGTTTTACCTTACCTTAATGTGTGCTACTGTTGTATACTACAACAGTACATTTAACAGTGTAAAACGCGTTAAATTAAGTAACTCGTGTATTCTCTTATACATTTTATAAAGTCTTGAAGATATAAACACATATTTGTCTTAAAGCTAGGCAAAGTAGGCTTTATTCAGCCAGATTAATTATTCTCCACTTGACACGTGTGTAATCGGCTTTAAGTGCAGTGTGGGTGTGTTCTGTTCGTGCAATTTAACCACCCATATAAATACAGGAACAATGGGATTCCCGGCTTGTTAAAATACCTCTTAACTTTTAACTGGTAGGGGATATACCTTCTTCTGTCATAGAACACACAAACACATCATGCTGAACGATGGCCGTGGAGCCTTAAAAATTTATACATATCTAATGATAACTAAACTTTTTCTAACATACAGACAACTTACTTACTACTTATTCTATAATACCTTCACGTCACTTGTGTTAAATGTACAGATATTTTATTCTATAGCTCTATTATAGTATCGATGTCCAATCAACACTGTATTATATAAGAACATAGATGTAATTATCATAATCTGTATTTACACTTTAATCCGATACGCCATTCGGCCCTTGAAGTCTGACAACAATTTAGCATTATTGTTGAGAATTAATAGATTTTATTCGCTCAATTATCTTCATATTGTTTCTAGTGACATCATGCCTATCAGTGGCGTAGCTATCGTAGGCCCAGGTGGTGCAGTGCACCAGGACCTTGGGCAGGGGCCCTGTAACGTTAACCTTAAGAAGATATAAACGTAGAAAAAAAAAAGATTTTTTAAAGTTCTTGTTGCTATTTATAATTTTGGAGGTTTATTTAATTCAAGTTATGCTAAAAGAGGGGGTGAGGTCCCGATTCTTTCTTGAGCCTTACTATTATGTAGACCAGGGCCCTTGTCCACCTAGCTACGCTACTGATGCATATATAAATAAAACAAACATCACACTTATAAAATACTAGCTAACCTGGTAAACGTTTAAATAGAACACTTTAACGGTTTAAAACGCGATATATATTCAGCCGTCTTTCGGAACATTCGGCCGACGTGAGCGGGAAGAGGTTCTCGACGTTTCGCCATCACTCTTCGAGCAATCGAGGAGTTAACATCTCCTGATGATGCCCTCCACACATGATGTTGAAACGTCGAGAACCTCATCTCGCTCACGTCGGCCGAACGGCCCGAAAGACAATGATATGCTGAATATATATCGCAAATGACGCGCTGAACGATGGCCGTGAAAGCCTTACACAATTTATTGCGATATATATTATTTATACTTATTTTCGAATAAGTTTAACTAATATATCGCGTTTTAAACCGTTAAATTTTTATTTAAAAATTGTTTTAAACCGTGAAATGTGTATTAATCAAATGTGTTATTTTTCACGTAAACTACAGTCTCAATTTAAAATGTTTCTGAAACATATTGGATTTCGTCTGAAAATCTCGATATTAAGCGGGTGGAAGGAATAATTAGATTTGTCCGGGTGACGACCACCGTCCATAAATGAAAAGGCCGACAAATTTAATTGCGTTTCGGTGTCAATATGTGGATTCAAGAATATCCAACCCCGAAATAGGTTGACACATCTAGTTTAGTATTTCACCGCCACATAAAGCCCATACTCGCTTGACCTCCTTTACCATAACAAAAACTTCAAGTTGTGGAAAAAGCCATCCTTTAATATGAAAAAAAAAACAGGAACAATAATTTTTACTATGACCTTAATAGATCCCTGAGCAATAATAGATCGAGAGATATTTGAAAAAACTTTCGTGACCATTAGACCTTCATAATTTTTTTGGATACCGTGATACCTAAGTATACAAAAACCTAGCTTACCAGAATTTATTCCGTAGATTATACCTATTGATAATGCCTAAAATACAGGACGATTTCTCTGTAAATTCCTTGTGAGTAAAGCATGACATTTAACTAAAACACTTTAACGGTTTAAGACGCGATATATATTAGTTGAAGTTATTTGAAAATTATTTTAACTAAGGCGCGACGTCTCCCCATGACCACAGCTGCTGTAAAGCATCCGAATATAATTTACAAATAAGTTTAACTAATATATATCGCGTTTTAAACCGTTTGTGTTTGGTTTAAATGTGTACTTCTCGCGTAAACTACAGACGTATTTAAGCATGATATTGTTATGAAAGTAAATATGCAACATTATATGTATGTTATCCTTGTTCACTGACATTTAGTAACAGATATCTTTGTAGTTAAATTTTAACGACTCTATAATATTTATCTTTTATTACCTAATAAGGTAAGAAAGTGAAAACCTGTTACTCCAGAGGGGCATGGGGCAAACACATTTCAGCGTCCGTTACATACATATCATATAAAATCCATATATATATATACTCATATGCTTTCAGATAGATTTCTCTACCCGACCAAAAAAGCCATTCCCTAAGATTCGAACCAAGGACCTCGCATGTTTAGTGCAATGCTAAGCGAAATATTTAAATAATTTGGCTCCTATTTGACGTTGGTCAATGTATGGTTAGTAATGAACGGGTCATGGATTCGATCCCCACCGGATCCGTCGTGTTTTCTAATCAACGTATAGTTTTTCGGAAACATACTGAAAACCTAAATATTAAATGGATGGGAATATCGGAAATTCCCTGCCTTCAATGCCCGGGACAAAACCGAAGTCCACAGATTAAAAAGCCGTGAAGCTCAATCGCGTTTCGGTTTCAGTCTGTGGATTTCCGAATATTCAAAACCAGAAGTCTTGAAGAAAGCCTGTCTGACTTCTCACTTCAACAAATAATAATTATTTATTATTATCAAGATAACTCATGTTATTTTTCCTCTCCATTTCGTAATAAATCTCCCGGTCAATGACCTTTGTCATTTAATTTGTCAAAAATAAAACCGTTAGAACGGTTCACGTCCAAGGTGAGTATCTGCGACAGGGGGGACTGTCTAGTTTATTAATTAAAGGAATGAGCGAGTGTTCCTTGTCAAACGTAGTTGACTTGTTCATATCTTATATTAATATAATCTGCTAATAGAAAATTGATTTTGTTTTATCTGTAGATGTGACGACACACAAGAGTGCGATTATGTGATTTTTTTTAATATCACTCTTTCACATTAATACCATCAAACTAGCTGTGTCAGCGTCGTCGTCTGCGTAAAACAGTTATTTTGTGCATTAAAATTAGTACTTGCAAACTTTCTGTTCAACTCTATGAATTTAAGCAGTTACTTACCCACGATGTCGTCCGTCGGGATAAATCGAACGTGTCATGTTTAGAAGCCAAACAGTAACTATGTAAAACCATATTCGTGAAATTTAAAAATGGTCGAACTTCTACATGGCAACCAAGGAGGTTACTTATAGATTTTATTTAAATTTCGAACTGGCTAGCACAGAGATATGGCAACAAAAAGTTAGAATTTGATTAAAATAAAAAACGTTTAACGGTTTAAAACGTGGATTTTTAAACGTTTCCATTTATCGTTTACCAAAATTGTTTAAAAGTGAAGTAGTTCGCGTTACATAGTTTTTTATATAACAAATGAAATATTTGATATAGCCTTACAGAAGAATGCAATTCTATCAAGGCTATCTAATTTAGTAAAATGTGAAGCTAATTAGGTGAAGGTCTACCTGAGCTTCCGTAGCATGACGTGACTGAAGGTATTCTCACGGGAGATTCCGAGCTGCAGCCAACAGCACGTTTTACTTAGTAACCGAAAATTGCGGCGTTGACTGATTAATTGTACTGTTAGAGCATTATGTGAATTCGCACGTTATATGTGATTTCGAACGTTTAATGTTGATGATTGAATGTATTAGCTAAACTTAAAAATCAATTCTAGATTGAAAAAAAATTACGACACGGGCAGAACTTGAACCGGCATCGACAGCTTTACGTGCTGTTGCACTAACCAATTGAGCTACCGTGTCCCACACGTCGTCATTAAATTTTTTCATCATTCGCAAATAACGTGTGACGAATATTTAAGTGCTACTTTTTTTAAAATAGAGAAGTTTGATTGCAGAGACTTATTTAAAAAACGAAAAAAAGACAGCGAACAGCGTTCAACTTGCCCGATGACAAATTAAATGATTTTTAAAGGAAATTTTCCCAAACCTTTCGCGTTTTAAACCGTTAAAAGTGTTTTATTTAAATGTCGACTACTCGCGTAAACCACAGAGTACTTGATGATAAATTTTGGTTAACAACTATTAAGACAGACAGGGACAGACAAGAACGGAGTTAACTTGATGAATGGTGGAATAGGCCAGCCATATAACATCTCCACAGACATATTTCGTCTTTGGTCATATTGATTTAGAAGCCGACAGACTGAAACCGAAATGCGACAACGCGTTCTGTTAACGGTTCGTGAGCTGCTTCCAACGACACATTTGATATCCACATTGCCAAGAGCAACGCGCTTCAAAACAAAAAGAACCGACGTTCGTTAATAATTAGCTATACGTGCTACCAGTAGGTACACCAACGACCACGTTAATAATATTATAATACTCTATTTAGCTTTAAAATGTCTATAAAGCATTTATATTAAAGTACTAGAACACTTTGCCACTGGGCGCAAGAATTTCACACTCCTAATTATTCCCACTTAAGACACTGTTATTAAAATATCAAATGCTTTATGAGCGCTGTCTGACAGACGAAGTAGGGTTTTGCTGAAAGTCAGTGTTGTAGCATAACTGTGCTGCAATGTATGCTGACGCATTTGGCATCACTTTTCTTCTCATTAAATTTAATGTTTTTTTATTATTAATTTACAGTATTTATAAGTAGTTATGATTTACCAGGCCATACCAAATAAGTGATTCATTCATGGTATTGCTTATTTATAAAATCTCTAAGTTTAAATAAAACAATTTAACGGTTTAAAACGCGATTTATTAATTAAACTTATTTGAAATGATTTTTAACTTCGGCCCGACGTTTTGGATGCTTTGCCGCAGTCGTGATCACGGGGAGACTGTTAGTCTCCCCTGTTTTATTTAAATGTGTAAGTACTCCTGGCGTAAACTATAGACAGTATTGAAATCTCTAAGTATTAATAGTATACCCGATATGATTGCCGAACGTAAAGATTTCATCAATGAAACATATAATTTTCACCTTACAAACAAATTCACACCCGCCCAATATTAGCCAAATAACACTATTTAAGCTCAAGAAATCGACGATCGATGTCGTGATCGATTATAATTGTATGTACGTGAACCCGAGTCGCGACCTCACCTTAGCTTTGGACGCTTAAAATTCATTATTCACACTTGAACGCAATTTGGGTCACATTAAATAATAAAAATAATATCAATTAACACCTGAAACAAAACACTAAGCCTAACTTTAGTTTTAAAAATATTCTACCCTCAATACCCAAGTTTTAAAGTCGATTTATTTATATATAGATATCTTCGTTTATCTTAGTATATTTGTTATATTTGCCTAAATTACAACCACACAGGAAGTATGTAGAAAATAGAAAATGACGATTCTAGTAGTCCAAAAGATTAATGATGTAAAATTTTAATCGCACAAATTTCAAAACTAATAAGTAATAAGTAAAATCGCAATTACCAATGTGGGGCTTGGGGTTTTAAAGATTACCATGTTCTAGACATAAACTATTATGTTCCCTGGACACCTTACGCGATGTATTTTGAGATATTTATCTAGACTTAGTTAAAACGAATCTAGTATTTACGTGAAATAATTACAGCTAATTGAAAATTCTTATTCGTCGTCCACGACGTTATGAGAACAAAACGCCCAATTCACAATAATCAAAGTAGAACATCGTCCTTGACATGAACAACGAGAACGTAATTTTAACTACAAAATTGAAATCACGTACTTTATGGATTATGCAAATATCATGATTGGCTTTGATGAATATTTCTCTAACTCGTCCATTTAAATGAGTCATGCGCAGGATTCGAGTTTTAACATAACTGTTATGTAATATTTAAGTTTTCTACTAAAATGAAAAAATGTTATAAATACACACAGTATACTTATTATTATCCATAACTATCGTATTGAATTTCATAAAAGGCTATAGGAAGCCGTGGCACAGCATCATAGATTTACATGCTTTACTATTGCGATGTTACAGTCTAGATTATGAACCGTGGCTTCAGAGTCGTACAAATATTGTTGGAATAGCATTATAGTTCCGCGTGGAAGCTTCGGCTCGGGGAGGAGGGATATATATATATATATATATATTTATTTATAAAAACGCACCCACTTCCAACTTTCACATATGTATATTTGCACTGTTAATATAATTTTGTATAATAAACGTACAAAACCCCCGATGCGTTTCGTCCGGCGTGTCGAGAAGAAAAGTCCTTGTTTTTTGTCATAAAACAATATCCTGGGATTTCAAACAAACATAGAATAGAACATTTTAAAAACCTACCTCAAGTGCTGCCAGCCAATATCAATATGTATAAACTCCAACAAATATGTTTCCAGTGGGAGCTCTGGGGAACCCTGGAAGGGCGCATTAACACCATAAGTTAAAAAAATAAAAAGGTTGAGAACCGCGGAGATTAACTTGAGTTAAAATAATTGTCTTATTTTTAGTTGTAAGTTTGAATTTGTTAGGCATGTAGATTAAATAGGAAATGGTCATAATCTATGGCCGTCGTATATTTTGTCAATGTCAGTTTTTGACAATCAGTTGTTGTCAAACGCGGAGCGTCACTCCATGACAACGTAGAATTTGTTTTGATTTTTAGCATTTTTTTAAGGTTGACAACCGCGAATATCGATCAAGCCGCAGGTAAAGGAAACTTTTTGTTACAATAGAAATGGAAAAAGCTTTCGAGATTCAAAGGAATGCGCGTGATAATGTGAAATCCTTTCAAACGTATTTAACAGACTTGCAAAATTGGGAAACGGAGATGAAACGCAAAGAAGCCGCTCTCCATGGTGACTTTGAGCAGGTTTACGAATCACTTTCATGTTGATTCACACTAAACAAATTAGTCCACCTTCACTAAAACCAACTAGAAATTTCCAAACTAAATTTATTGTAGTTTAAAACCGGTGGAATGTATTTAGCGTACAAATTAGCCCGTTGTTTATCAATAGACCTTGTGTGTCTTTTATTGTTCCTTTTGTACCATCTGTGGCTATTATTGGGCTACGGGCAACTGTAAATAATTGTGATTTTTGGGGGATAGGATCTACCACCAGTGAGAAGTAAAGTGCGCAAAGAACGACCTGTACAAGTAAAAAAGAAACCAGAAAACCGAATTCCATCATCCGACTACAAAGCTTGGGAGAAGTTTGATGTGGTACTAAAATTATATACTTAATCCAGGAATTTGTATACTTGTTGTTGACAAGGCCTTCACTGTTATAGCAATAATTATTACATTATATACAAAGATCCTGACTTTTTTTTATTGATTGATTCCTTGTAAATATACATCTAATAAAGTAGGAATTGAATTTACACCGCTTTGTTGTAGTTAGGGCATGCAACATGATATTTATATTAATTTAGTCAAGAGTACATTTGTATATGTATAAAGATCATTTCAATTAAACAACATGTTATAGAAAAACCTTTTTTTTATTTCAGGACAAAGCATGCGAAGAAGTAGACATGGCAGATGTTGGACCTGCATCTCTTGACAGTAAAAAGAGTGAAGTGAACAAACAAGAAAAGTTTAGAGATGAAGCACAGTATGAGAAAGAGAGGGTAATATGTTTTTTAAATGAAAGTTTTGCTACTTAAAGTTGAATATTCAAATATATTTTGATTGATTAAATTTCATAACTACTATTATTATTGTTGTCAATATGTGTGAATGTTAGATTTTCACTCCTTCATTAAGTAAATTCTTTAAGTTACTGTAGACAAAACACCCAATTCTACCAGCAGGCCATTTATTTTCTTTTTATGCATTTCTTAACATTTTGATAACCTAATATCGTCGGCAGAGAGGAAATATGTAAAATGGTCAGATTATACTGTGATCAAGACTAATCATCTAGTTTTGTTGCCAAAAGAAAATTATGTATGTAAATTATTTTACTTGTTATTGCACATGATGGAACTATTTTAATTATAAATCCATTCTACAATTGTGGTGTTGCTCTAACCAATTTACTCTGTAGCTCATTTGGTTAGAGCAACAGCATGGAATACTGAGGTTGCCGGTTCAAGTCCTCCCCGAGTCATATTTTTTTTTATTCATGTTACAATTTATTTTGAATTTGTGAATATTCAAGTGATATTCTTACTTTTATATCTTTCAAATATGTATATGTATAGGTTATGCTGATAATTTTTAAATATTTACAGGGTAATGCATTTGTTAAGCAGAACAAATGGGACGAGGCCATAGCATGTTATAACAGAGCTATTGAGCTGGTTAAGGATGATGCAATTTATTATGCAAATAGAGGACTTTGCTACCTCAAAAAAGACAGGTTTGTATTAAAATAATTATTAGAACTCATACTGGCATTGATAAATTTTGTTTCAAAGTTGTATGTGAGGTTATGCGATGGATACACTTACACATGTTAAACGATTTAACTATTACTTAATTTCTTTAGCTTCTTAGATTTTTGAGCTGTTGGCAGTTGGTAGCTTATAAAGCCAAGTAGTTTGTAGAATCGTCGTTAATATGCTTGGCGTTTTGTTATCAAGAGTGAATCAGGGTAAATTGAACATAATAAACCGCTCTTAACGCTTTAGAACGCGAAATATATTCGTTTTTATTTTGTATTTACATTAATTATGACCCGACATTTCGGTTGGCTTACTCGTGCAAACTAAAGACAGACATCGGGAAAAGTTGCATGGCCGTCTAGGTTTGAGATTATATACACTCTCAGACGTATTGAAAGACTAAATTAAGTTATTTTATTTCGACAGCCTCCACCAGGCAGAAAATGACTGTACAGAAGCCTTGAAATTAGATCCAACATATGTTAAAGCACTTCAACGTCGCGCCACTGCCAGAGAACGCTTGGGGTCCCTCCGAGCAGCCTCTTCTGACCTTAACGAGGTATGAAGGACTAGGTCTAATATATAATACTAGCTGTGTCCGCGACTTTGTTCACATGGAGTAGTTATTTTGGGCATCAAAATTCGATTTGTAAACCTCTTCATCCTTTTAAACTTAAGCTATTACCCACGACGTCGCCCGTCGTTCTTGCAAGTTAATCTTAAAAGATAGACTTAGCGTCGGGGACTTTTTTTAGATCAGTTAAGGGGGAATCATTATTTTCTAGGAATCACGCTTTAGCAGCGTCCGCCTCGCGTAACCCATAATGATTAATAATTTTTCCATTGTTTTTCACATTTATTGCTGTATCATCGCTTATAAAAGTCACAGGGCGATGTTTTATAGCCTATAATAGCCTTCCTCGACTTTTTAATTCGAATCCTATATTCCTGAGATTAGGGCGTTCAAACAAACAAACAAACTCTTCAGCTTTTTATAGAATAGATAAAAGGTTTTTTGAAACATCTCGCTAGGGATTAATCTATGAGCCGTTGATTTTATTAGCTAGTGCTAATAAAATAATTATAACAAATAGACCCATAAAAATGATTATCGATGGATTGTTTGATCTGTGTGGTGAATCTTGAAAATACGTTTAAGGTTCAAATCACATTGTGTGAGATGTGCTGTATAGGTTAAATAGGACGTCGAGGACAGCATAGTAACAGCATGAAACACTAGATGCCAGTTCAAGTCCTGGGCGTGTCGTAGTTTTTTTAATCTAAAATCAATTATTAAATTTATATAATGCCATCATGTGCATTAACATCAGAAAAATATTATAGTTTTCAAACATTTTAAGGTTATCAAGTTGGAACCTCACAATGCAGCAGCAAAGCGTCAGCTGGAAACTATTAAAACCCGAATGGGAACAAAAGGGGTAACTATAAAACAATTTACTTATAAAGTTAATGTTTAAGTGACCTAAAAAACTACTTGACTCTGGTTTAAGTGCTACCCAAATCCATAGACTGAATCCAAAACTCGAATAAACTTTACGGCTTATATCTGTTGAGGGTGGTTCGTGAAACGGATGGAATTTTGATATTACTGAACTGTAACAATTCAATTTACTATTCTATTTCAGGCAAAGTCTAAGTCATCCCCACTATCAACACCGACTTTGGAAGAAAAATCTTTCACCAAAGCAAAAACAGAGGCAGCTAAGCCGAAAGTCATTGAGTTACCCCAAGTCGAGCCAACGCCTCTAGAGAAATGGAAGGAGGGACTAGGAGAAAATATTACTGTTATAAAAACTGTAAAAAAACCGCCCCATCTCAGATCGAAGGTACAAATTCTGTCAGATCAAATCCGTGTTACCCATAGAAAATAATAATACTTGCATTTTTGATGTCTTCAGCTCCAAGAACCATTATGAGGGCACTTCCAAAAATGTTGTTTTGTTTTTTATGGTAGATGAGGGTAGACGACAGACGAAATGCCCCAGTTAACAAGATGTTCAGTCGACCCAATTTGCCTTCGAATATTTGGAAATCCACAGACTGAAACCGCGAATAACTTGATAGGTTTTCACATGTAGTGGTTTAAAACCACCGCAATTTCTATATTTCTACTACCCATCTGACACAGTCAGACAAAAGATGTTTATTTAAAATCTCTAAATTTATATTTACTACCAGTTCTCAAATCACTAACGTAGAGCGAACGAGAAGAACTGGCAAGAAACTCGCCGCCTCTCCTTTTATTGCCAAGTTTCATTTTACAATCTTCACGTACTTTAAGTGCGCTACATAGTCTTTTTCTTGTTGAGTGGGTTCCTCCCAAATCCCTACGTCAACCCGTTCCAAGTAGTTCATTTTACATACGATTTAGACTTATTTATTGACAGAATTACTTATTTTATGAAGCCTTCTGCTTGATACACTTATTTTATTCTTAACACGATGTCCAAATTTAACAGCTGAATCACATAGGCGGTTCTTCAGAGAAACTGATGTACATAGTTAAAAATGTCTGTATCTATGTTTACAGAGGGCGTTAAAACACATAACGATAAAAGAAATTCCGTTAGGCTGCACCGTACCGAAGCCAAAAATTATAGAGATTGACAATCTTGCCCAAGGTGACACCAACAATAATTCGGACACCAAGAAAGACATTGATCTCTCTGCGAAGGGCGACTGTATCCAGGATAACATAACAGAGAAAGTAGGGGGTAATTTAGTACATGGTGTGGGTCATAAGGTCCCACCTATAGATAAAATGGTTGCACCGGTAAACAGCGTGCAGTTTATGAACGAATGGAAGTATCTTAGAGGTGCAGACGAGGCTCGGAGTGACTACTTAAGTGTAAGTTTCTTAAAGTTAAATTAAAAACAGAAAAATTAAATTGCGACCAGGGCCGGTTGCGGATAAGCTCAATTGAGCTATCGCGTCCTATACGTCATCGTCGGATTTCATCTTAGCGCAATGTAATTTCAGCCCACGACTTGAAATCTTAAGGTTAGGTAACGGACCACAGCTCAAATCAAATCGTTAGTAGGTACACTAATGCGAGTTTTTATGATAGACAAGGACAGACAATCTTGAGGTTACCTAATAATAATACAAGATTTGCCGTAAACCTATTTTGACTTTATATTCTATGTACCACGGCAGCTGCAAAGCATGCGAAACGTCGGGCCGTAAAATAAACTTAAATTATTTTAGTAATATATTTCACCATTTAAACAGTAAAAAGGTTTTAAACTTTAACTTATTTTAAGTATTGACATAAACAATAATAGACAATTGTGTTCTTTTTCAAAACACTTTGACGGTTTAAAACGCGATATATTAGTTAAACTTATTTGAAAATTATTAACTTCGGCAAAGCATCCGAAACGTCGGGTAAAAATCATTTTCAAATAAGTTTAACTAATATGTCGCGTTTTAAACCGTTAAAGTGTTTTATTTAAATGTGTACTACACGCGTAAACTATAGACAGTATTTAATTGTGTTTTTATTGTTATATATTTTTTTAATTACTTATAATACATGCGTCTTAACGCATGTATGTTTCTTAGTGGGTTTTAATTAAGTTGATTATATCTATATTAATTTTACTATTATCTAATATGGCTATAACATTCTTTTGACAGATAATAGACCCGAAGAAAATCCCAGCAATATTTGCGAATGCACTAGAAAGCGATGTCTTGTCGGAATTGCTGCGTACGCTATACGAATATAAGGACAAGTTCACACTGGGCGGCGTAGGCGCATATCTACAAGCGTTCGCGAATGTCAAGAGATTTTCAGCTCTCGCCATGTTTTTGACTGATAATGACAAGCTCTGTAAGTATTAGTCTAGTATATAATATATGACATAAAAAATAATATCAAAGCCGGGACTCGAACTCACGACCGTAATGCGTGCTGCTACTCTGCAAACTGAGCTATGGTAGCTGTTACCCGAAAAGCCGTAGTTTATTCGCACTTCGATTATAGCTATATTAAGAATTTAAAGCCACAATAGGTCGACAGCGTGTCTGACTAGCCGTTAAGTGCTTAGCAAAAAATACCTTAAATATAATACTTTTTACGGTTTAAAACACGAAATGTTATTGTTAAAGTACTTTAATGTACGGCCCCACGTTTCGGCCTCTGCGCCTGCTGTGGTCGGACCGTAGTTCAAATAAATTTGAAAAGTTGAACATCGCGTTTAAAACCGTTAAATTTGCACTACTTCGCGTTAGTGACACTGATCTATGTTAAATTTATTTTGCAGTGATAAACAAAATGCTGGTGCACTGCAAGACGAAAGAGGCGCTATCTGACGACGAAGTAGCTGAACTAAAGAACAAATACGAGTTTTAAAGTCTCCTGCACATGAAAATTGTCACTTTTATTGGTACCTCTGTTAAGTTGATTGAAAACTAATGATATATTGAGTAGTTAACGCAATGGGTACATTATAAAACACTACTATAAAGCGACCGACACGGATCGTAGTCAAAAATAACTAAGTACAAAAAAGACAGAGTGTCCTTAATGTACAAATGTACAGTATGCTTTTGACTGTTTGAATCGCGAAATATATTACTAAAATTAATTCATCGTAATTACGACCCGAAGTTTCGGGTGCTTTGCAACTCCAATGGCAGAGAGAATATACGAAATGTCAAATCCGCTACGATAGCGCCACCTGTTACTCTGTAATTGTAAATAAGTTTATATATTTTGCGTTTTGAACCGTCAAAAGTGGTTTATTGTGTGCTACTCGCGTAAATTCGAATGAATTCTACTGTACCAGGTATAGTGATGATTTTTAATAGGCAAACTTTAGCTAGGTTAATTCTATAGACATTCTCTTTCTGATGTTGGCATTGTTGCCTCACGATTACAATATGGATACGTTAAGCCCGATTTCACAGAGAAATTATAACACTGATCTAAGTTAACCGTCCGTTAAATTGGCATTTTTTACATGTCATCGAGTTCTCGTTGGAATCGGGTCTTAGCGTAAAGACAAAGTTACGTTTTAGGTTTAGTTTATGCATTGGTCTAAGATACCCAAATCTAAGTCGTTTGAACAAAAGCTTTGTAGTCTACGAGTACATTAGTAGTCAAACAATTTTAAACGTGGAATTGTTACATTTTTTTTATTTTAACTACCACTCTACAACACTAACGTGGGTTTTTGTCGCGTTTTTAACCGTTAAGGTGTTGTAGTGAAATTTGTACTTGCGTAAACTACAGACGTTACTTTTTATTGTTCTGTCAACATAATTTAGTTCTATCATGGTGCGAATTATTTTGGTTCATTAATATAAGTTGTTTTGTAATATTTTGTGTTTTATTTCTGTCATCCTAAATGTTCTTTAGAATATTTATTTAATTTAGGTAAAACGGCATTGTAAAAAGTACCTGAGGTAAAAATTAATAAAAATGCGATAATTCTTAAAATTTATTTTTGGAAAATGATATCTAGAAACCCAAAAATAGGATTCCTTTTTTAAAATCCCCGAACTATATGTTTATCTTGGTTAACTTGAAGAACGACGGGACCGACGTCGTGGCTAAAAGCTTAAATTTATGAAGATAAAGTAACTATAAGCGGACGAAGTCGCTGACACAGCTAGTATGTAAGGCTAGGTTATTTGAAAATAGATTTTAGATAAAAAAATGATAACACAGTGGGCCTCGAACCTAATATACTGGATCGGTTTGGTATCTGAATTATGGTTTGTTCCTTATTATCCTTTATTTGATGTAGTAAAAATACAAACAAATTAGTCGAGTAAACAAGATTTGACATAACTATAGAAGTGGGTCGAGAAACAGAAAAATAATAACATTCCGGGGCACAATACAATTTGACGGGGAGAAAATTATTTGGTTTGTGGGAGGGGGTAGGGGGCAATTAGGTCGCTTCGGGGTCAATAAGATGAGAGCGTCTAAGAGTATAGTCTAAGAGCCGATTAGTGGTGAACGCCTTATAGATCCACTCAACGTCAGTTAATCAATTTCGTCGGAATAAATTTGTCTCTTTGGCTGTAGCCTTAAGCTAAATGCGCTGTTAACGAAAGGAGTTTGAAACCCGAGAGAATATAATAATTTGGTTGGCTAGGACATAGAAGATAGTCAAAAGATATTCAAATATTATTTAACCGTCTTGTGTTAATAGTCGTGGTTTTTTTTTTTTCCCCCCCTTTTGGATTTTGATGAAAGCTTAAAGTGTTTCATGATAGAGAAAAACATACAAGTACGGGGTTCACGCGATGGAAGGTGGATACACTAGCATTTAACATCTAAACAGCATGCGTTGTCCTAATCTATTTTGGCTTTGAAAGTTTTGATTTCGGTAGATTCATGGTTAGTCGATATGCCGATAGAAATTCGATACTAAAACTCACCATTTAACATTCAGTACGTCCGGACATGACATGTTAAACCCGGTGGGCAAACTCACGGCCCGCTGATTATTAGCCATACACTGCTACCATTAGACCAACGAACCAATCAAATGCTGATAAAAGTGGTATTATGTTTTGTTAATTATCTTTCTAATATGAATATTCATATGATTGTAGTCATCATACACGACCACTAGATGTCGCTTTAAGCAATAAGCTCGTCGTACCTTTTAACTTTTATAATAAAAAAGCTCTATATTTGGCATCCATTTAGTACAGTGCTATAAAGAAATAAATATAATTGCAATGAATAATACAAAAAGATGATATGTAATTTGAAGAAAAGTGATGCCAATGTATGTCTTTCATTTGCCAAAAATATTTACGAACTCTTAAACTATACGTATCGTGTGTACAAATGAAAGAGATAAGCCGAACATAGGCGACGGAAGAGGCTCTATTTTGAAAGATTTCCTAGTTAAATAAATCTCAACATTTAGGGACTTAAAACGTTTGCGATGTAAGTATATTTTGTAAATAGTTTCTTTAAGAACATTTGTTGCTTTATCGAATATTTACTTTTCTTAATCGATTCATGATATATATGAATAAATAATATGACAGACTCGTTGGTCAAATCTATACTTATATTATAAATGAGAAAGTAACTCTGTCTGTCTGTCCGTATATAACGCCAAAACTACTGAACCGATTTAAATGATTTTGAATTTGGTAAACAGATATTCTAGACCCTGAGAAAGGACAAAGGCTACTTTTTAATGTTAAAAAAAGGGTTTATTAAGGGTTGAAAAGGCAGATAAATCAACTAATATATTTCGCGTTAAAGTTGCGTATGAATTAATTAACGGTTTCAGTTTCAAACGTTTTTCAAAAAACAATTTTTACTAATATATAAAGCTGAAGAGTTTGTTTGTTTGTTTGAACACACTTATCGCAGGAACTACCAGTTCGAATTGAATAATTATTTTGTGTTGGTTAGACCATTTATCGAGGAAGGCTATTGGCTATAAAACATCGCCCCGTGGCTAATACAAGCAAAGATACTGCGAGAAACGTGAAATAGATTGGGAAAATGATTCATCGTTCTAAGTTTCCGAGGCGTACGCTGCAAAAACGGTTGAAGATACCTCAAAAACATGTATGAAAGAATGATTCCTCTTTAAATGGTCCGAAGAAAAGTTCACGACGCTATATGTCTATCTTTTAATAATACCTTGCAAGAACGACGGGAAGGGACGTTATCGACGTCGTGAGTAACAGCTAAGTTTATATAGATGAAGGGGTTTGCAAAAACGAATTAGGATGCCCAAAATAAATATTCTTAGACGGACAAAGTCGCTGAAACAGCTAGTTTATTTTATAGAAGATATTGGTGTCTTTTGAATTGAATTAGAAAATATCCAATTCAATATCTCAGTGGCGAAATGGATAAATTCATTAAAATGTCATTAGCAGTGGCCGAGCCGAATTATTAATTAGCAAAGTTGTTGCTTTAGCCACTTTTCATTTTCCAACTGAATAAGCTGGTATTATCGTGACTCGACGTTTCTTTGTTTGTCTTTGTTTAACTTGAACACACCTTTAGCTTTTACTTTGCCTTCAAAAACGATTCTGCGATAAATCTTTAGTAACGTTTTAGGAAATCTCTTAGTTTGAACTTTGAAGTAAACCAATATTATTTATTGTCACAAATAAAAATAGATTGAAATCTGTATCTATCTATACTAATATATAAAGCTGAAGGAGTTTGTTTGTTTGAACGCGCTAATCTCAGGAACTACTTCGAATTGAAAAATTATTTTTGTGTTGATTAGAGCATTTATCGAGGAAGGCTATACGCTATAAAAAATCGCTTTGTTACTAATATAAGCGAAGACACAGCAATAAATGTGGAAAATTTTGGGAAAATTATTTATCATTATGTTTGGTATGGTTTCGGCGGCGTGCGGCCTCTTCAAATGTTAAAAAAAAGTCCGTGACGCTTAATGTCTATCTTTTAAGATTAACTTATAAGAACGATGGGAAGGGATGCGACCGACGTCGTGGGTAACAGCTTAATTTTATAAAGATTAAAGGATTTGCAAAAACAAATTTGGATGCCCAAAATAACGGTTCTCGCGGACGAAGACGCTGACACAGCTATTTAAGGATGACATGCGGCTTAATAGCTAAATAGCTATCTCTTCCAAGCAACCGCGGTAAAAAAACACAGTAATAAGAGGTATGCGTGACAGCAGAAAGGGTACTTTCCTAGACTTTACATTTATAAATTAAATAACACACTTTACAATAATGCACAAATAACTGTTATATATCGCGTTTTAAACCGTTTAAGTGATTTATTTAAAAGTTTATTATATAAATATAAAATCTACGAAAGCTAATGAAAACCAGTATATACACAGCATTGGGTACATTAGTGAATAGTAGACCGTCCACAACTCCACTGCGATGGTTTTGTTCCTTTATTAGACACTCGGCGACACTGAATAATGATCGCGGCTCCAATATGTTGATTTTCGCTTCTATTTTTAAACACCCACTGTGTTTTTAAGAGAATTTTCCGTTGAGAATTCTCATCGCGTGCACGAGGGCTTGGTACAATGTAATTATTATACAAGTTAATTTCGTTTTGACAGAGAGACAAGTCCTTACGTACAATCGAATACAATTTAAATGCTGTCTATAGTTTACGCGAGTAGTACACATTTAAGTAAAACACCTTGACCGTTTAAAACGCGATATATTAGTTAAACTTATTTGAAAATTATTTTTTAAAATTCGCCCCGACGTTTCGGATGCTTTGCAGCAGCCGTGGTCACGGGGAGACAAATGAGTTTAATTAATATATCGCGTTTTAAGCCGTTAAAGTGTTTTATTTAAATACAATTTAAATAAACTTGTTGATGTAATTGTAGCAATCTATGGCTAATAATCATG